TGTATCTTGGGAGATGATTGCCGAGAAACCGTTAGCACCGATGCGGGGCAAATTCATCTTAAGGAAAAAGTGTCAAACACTTGCCTCGACCGATCGCATCACTTGCATTTCATCTTTCTCATTTCTGATTTTATTTATGCTTGATTTCAGAATATGGTTAATTTATTTATGTGTTTTATTGAAGGGTTTGAATTGAAGAACAACATGCGTTCACTCATATTGGGAAGTGAAGAATTCATATTATTATATTCGAAGTCGGTAAATCGCTATTTTATCTTCTCAAATCAGATTTCGGTAAGTCGAATGATGTTTCGATTTCACGCATATTAACGGCATGCTCTTGATGAATATAATATGCACATTATCGGTGTAATATCTCCTACAATCTTAAGATGAATTTTGTTTATGTGTGCATTTCATATTCTAATTTCTTTAGAATCTGATTTTTCACGTGCAATCTGAAAATATATTTACCGTCAATTTAAATGATGAACACAGAAATTGGTTAACGGCAACGGATCAGTGGGTATGTGAAGGGCATATTTTTTTTTATGTATATTTGTCCGTTGCATATGATGATTCTGTGTATAATTGTTAATCGATCCGCCAAAGTGCTGTGCATATATATAAGTTTTCATTTTCACAGTTTGTATTGACAGTTACTTTGCTGGCACCTTTTGATCCAAAAGATGTCTATATTAAAGTTAATAAAGCTTTTATATATATATACATATATTAAACTGTGTGCATGCCATCCATTGGTTTGGATTTGTATAATTCAACTATTGGTAAATTATGATTTATGAATGGTCTAAAATGGTGGCTGTTGAATGCAAAATGGAATATATTTAATAATCAGATTATGCTCATGTCCTTTACCTTGTGTTCGCTTTTGATGGAAATATGAAATATGAAGGGGTTCTTCATTACCCTTGTTGTTATGTGGTACGTGTATGCATGTTAAATCTGAATTATTATTGCACACATGTGAAATTGATACTGAGATGAGAAATAATCAAATTCGATTGAACGTTGTTCAATAATTTATCGAACTAATATGACATGTTTGAGGTTTGTACCAAATCAATGGTTGACCATTTGGTCTTGGTTAATTTAATTGATCGAGATTGAGATCAATGACTATATTTCTAAATGTGTGTGGAGTTCCTCAAGATATTGATATTCCTAGTCACGACATGTGTTGACTAAAATGGAATAAACTTATACAATGATTGTATAAATGTTGGAAGAATGCCAACTAGTTATTGAAAGTATATGAACTTTCATGATTATTCCTTTTATTGGAATATGGAAAGCCTCAATAATTTGATGAAATTAATTGAGATGACTTATGCAAATTATGGTTGTATTCTAGCATGACTATATATGATCTTGTCACAATGGGTATTAAGTCACCTAATCACATGGTGGAAAATTTATGAAATAATCTAGGATCATTTCATATGAAAAATCATGACCCTTGGTATGATTCATTTCCAATTTGTGTATCTCTTCATAGAGATTTATTCGAAGAGGCGTGTTATCTCGTTGGGTTGTGTCTTTTGAGAACACAACTATCGAATCGATGGATGATTCGTTCATTAAATTTGAACATGGTGAATAAGTATTATTTAACATGAAATAATACTATCTTGTGAAATGTCACAAATGTGATATGTTGGAGAAGTTGCAATTCTTGTGAATCAAGATGCTTAGTCTTCTTCATTGTTGAAATTCGATTTCAATCGTGGAACCAATTAAATTGGTATATGCTTTGAGAGCATTGTTGGTCTATGTGATGACCTTAATTTGATTTGGATGATCAAATTGAAGATAGTTGGATTGAAGTACATTGAATACAATTTCAATGGAAATAAATTGTGGATTGACGACCACTATTTTGAAAGTACTTAAACTTTCACGAAACATTCGATATGAACATTATCTATTCGATAATGAGTTGAACTACGAAAGAGTTGATGAACTCTAAGTTCAAGTGTAACCCAAAAATGTGGGGGTTAACATCAATGCTTGCGAACTTATATGAAAAGTTCAAGATTTGTGAATGCAACATTACTAGTTGCACATGCATTCCTAATTGAGGAATTGTGGGGGTAATTTATGTTTAAAAGTTACAAATTTTTCTATACCTTATAATCATAGAAATATATCTATGAAGTGGAAAAGGTAGAAAACCCTTATATTAATTATAAGGATGATATACACTAAGTCTAAAGTGGATGAAATGGGATAAAAATCCTATTACGGCGTTTGTTTGGATATGCAAGATCAATTGGAATATTTGAAAAATATTCATAAAATTGAAATGCATTGTAATATTTCAATAATGATATTGAATACCCCATGTTTCTGAAATCCACTAGTGAAAAGTGATTGACTAGTGTAGTGCGTGAAAGAAATCCTCCAACATTGTTGTTTGGAATTTATAAAGCTTTAGATAAAGCTAGTTAGAAGCATGTAGCTTCATGAGAGGATTTCTTGGTGGTGACATGTTGTATCTATTAAATCAATTAATTGTTGGCTAGCTATATTTGATGAGATACTAAGTCACATGTAATGGTAAGTCTAGACGTAGACATAATACCATTAAGCAGTCGATCTCAATGGTGTAAACTCGTGGTACCTTTAGAGATTTACCGAGAGATCAAGAATACTGCATATCGAGGGGAATGAGATTAAAGCCTACGATGTAAGAGTCTTTGTAATGGTAACCCTACCTTGTTGACTGGAGATCCCAAGATCTTGGTTCAAAGGGACAACTAAGTTATGAAGATTACATGAAGCACTTAGGAAATTATTCCTACTCATTCCTATGATAATTAAAGTGCTTTCTGCTAAATGATTGAAGGTTAAGATATTCTTTTAATGATTCCTATATCTTGATTAAGTCAAGTAGAGTAAGAGAGAATACTCTTAATAGGAGATCACCTATATAAGTGTGAAGTGGGGCCGCTTCAATGAGAATTATTCGAGGCTAAAATTCTCTAAACACTTATGAAACCAAGAGTGGTCCAGGGCCAAAATGGACACAACCGTGAGAACCATGAACGGTTTAGGAAAGACATTGTGTGAGTACTGTTGTCTTGGCTTACACCAATGGCTGAATGGTTCAAGACATCACGTTCACCAATTAGCCAGTAAGTCCGATAGTATTTCACTAAGGGAGGTTCAAAGCCAAAAGCTACCTTCTCTGATGCAGTGTTTTTTCCGTTCTCTCTCTACTAGTGTCTGCATAGTCATTTGCATTAATTTTCATTCATGTGGGGGATTGTTGGAATTTTGTGTTGGAAATTGGTTGTGACCAATTGAAATGATTTAAGTGGAAATTCCTTGTTTGGTGAATGAGAAATTAAGCCAAACTTAAACCACTTAATACTTGAAATTATTGGAATTGTGTAGAATATTGTGGAATATTCTAGAGAATGTAGATGAAAAGATGTGTCTTTTCATATGGATCATGTCTCTTAAAGAGCATGACTTTTGGTATGAGTAACTTCCAATATTTATGATTATTCAAGAGATGCTTAAAGAGCATGACTTTTGGTATGAGTAACTTCCAATAATTATGATTATTCAAGAGATGTGTCTCTTGATATGGATGTTCCAACTACTATATATATGGATTCCCTATGTGTTTGAATTCACAACAACAACACAACTACACAACAAACTATTCATTTGATAGTTTCATATCATTCCATTCCATGGTTACTTTAGTTTTGCATAAAACACTTTGTAGAAGTGATTTTTTCTTGCATCAAAATCATGGTTATGGTAGAGAGGGAACTCCGTTCGAGTTCGTGGGTCTAAGTCATTTGGAGTGCTCCTATGGCTAGACGTGGTCGTTGTATCTTGGGAGATGATTGCCAAGAAACCGTTAGCACCGATGCGGGGCAAATTCATCTTAAGGACAAAGTGTCAAACACTTGCCTCGACCGATCGCATCACTTGCATCTCATCTTTCTTTTTCGATTTCATTCCAATTTAGTATTTTGATTTCGGAAAGTAACTAATATTCTTTTGATTTCATGCAAGGTTTGAATTAAAGAATGACACGCGTTCAAGATTGGAAAGTGATGAATCCATATTCATATATTGGAAGTCGGTAATCACTATTTTATTTTCTCAAATCAGATTTCGGTAAGTCGAATGATGTTTCGATTGCATGCATATTAACGGCATGCTCTTGATGAATATAATATGCACATTATCGGTGTAATATCTCCCACAACCTCTGTGTTCAAGCCGTTAGAACATACGTCCTATCTACTTTGGGAAAGTATCTACTATGTTACTCCTCACGAATTTCTCTCCGTGTCCCCTAGGATTCAAAAATGGCAAGCTCCACTATTATGTTTTGATCTAGAATTGCAAGAGGAAGACGAGAAAGATTAGTGAGAAAGTGCATTTTGTGGCGCAAAGAAGGTATACAATCTTTAATATTGAAGTTTTTGAAGATCGATAGCCTTTCAAGAAGTTCAATTACGTTCGAACTTTGAACTACATGGACATACCATCACTGTACATAAAATATCCTCCCAAAAATAGTGTCCTTATTTCCACGTTAGATGAAATCTCGACCACACAATAGTGTGAACATTTCTGCATAAGAGCAAACTAGACATTTCAGATGCGAGTTTGTATATTTTTCATTAAAGTATGAACAATATACAATTTAAGGTTGAGGACTCCTTTGCCACATATTTTAAACCTTGGTGACAAAATGTGCAATTTTACCATGAAAAAATACATAACAATTACGAGCACCCACGCGTCAACACTCTATTCACTCATTTCTATTGTCGGCAGCAGCTTACGAGTGAACAATTTCACAAAAATCACGTAACTGCCATTACCTGCCATCTATCTTATCTTCATTCAGTCCCAGTGCTACTATAAATAACTCTCAACGGCTTCTCAATTCAACGCTCGCCCTATCTGTAAATCACACATATACAAATTTATATATATTGACTGAAATGGACGATCTGGTGAAGGGTTTAATCAATGTAGCGTTCGGTCATGGAGAAGAAGATGACAGGAATCGCGATGAACAGTCCAGATCCACGTGGGCGCAGGTTAGCACTGACTCCACTGATCTTCTTCATCTGAATGATCGTCGTTTGCTCATTAGGATTTAATGGCGTGCACTAAAATGTGCAGGTTGTGTCTGGAGAACAAGATGATCATGATGAGTCCATCTCCAGCAGTGATCGTCACAATAGACAGGTAAATTTCGTTTTTTTTTCCCTTTCATTTTTACTTATCTGTTAAAAATCTTTGAATTAGAGTGAAAGAAAAGAAGTGTAATATTTTTTTTTTCTTAAATTTTAGGAGGAAGAGAGAAATGAGAAATGGAGATCTGGTGAATCGCGGCCTACAATGAGACCCCCAAAGGTTAATTGATCTGTTTCTTTCTCAATTCTTTTGATTTTAGTACTCAGACATTATATGTGAGTTCTGATCACGTTTTAGATTTTGGAAATAATTTGAAGAAATACGAAAAATAAATTACTGTTGAATTTTTGAGATCTCCAAAAATAAATTTTGAAGAGCGTCTGTGTCAGATTCACATGAATTCAGATAGATTTCGTGTTTGTTTTTCTGCCTTAATGTACTTAGCAGTGAGTTAAATTCATGAAATTCAGGCGGTGTATCAGGAATATGATAGAGATGATGACAGTAGGCCAGATAATTATAACCAAGTCAATTGGAACCAAAAGGTTTGTTTTCATTGATTTTCATATTACTTTTGATCATTTAAATTTTCTGCCAAACATAAAAATTTTGGGTGGATTATTTACAGGAGGGAAAGGAGGCTGATGATGGTTGGGAGACAGTTGGCAAAAAGCCTGTGAAACAGCATTATAAGGTTTCTATATAACTCCTCGGTGTACTGATAATTATTTTTTGTTTATCTTCATCAGTCTTGTTTATTTTTTGTTCAGTTGAGTTTGACATGTGGTTAGTGCTGTTGATTTCAGTTATGTATTAGATTCATTAGGAAGATGTAATACATTTTGCAACGAATCTTACATGTAAACTTCTATGATTACACTTCTTTGTAACATGCATCGAGGCACTTCCCTAGATTAAGTTGTTGATATTGGCTTCTGCTCATAGTTTGCTTTCTTTTGGATAGGTAGTTATGCATATACTGAAGCAGCAGTAGTTTCTTCTAGTAACATGACTTTAGTTCTCTCTCATCATCTCTGGTTTCTTCTCTCTCTTAATTTTTTAGTAATTTCTACATAATGTGCAATATTTAGATATATTTTACTGAAGTCATACAAAGTTGTTTTGCAACTTGGTATTTAGCTGCTTTTTGTATAAACATGAAAAGGATAAATCATTCTTCTGACTATTTATATATATCACATTAGCATAACAAATCCAATGTGTTTAGAGCCAATTTTGTGTCCCAGTGTTTGCATGTGCTTCTATCATTAGACGTGTACTGTTTTGTCAATGTGAATCCTCTATGCTTTTATTGCTTGTAATACGTGAAAGAAACAAGATGTTGCCACTTGTTTTGTATTGCCAAAACTTATACTCGTGTTTCTAGCTTATTCTCCTGGTTCATACATGAAACATACTGGTACAGGCACACAAGGATCAGTGGAAGAATTACAAAAAGCCACTTGATGAGCAAGAATATTCTAGTGAGGTTAAGTATGATGTTGGCATTGAACCTTCTGGAGAAGAGCTTAATGATCTCTCAAAAGCTCTTAACAAACTCTGGGAACTTGACTTAAACCGCTTGGTACCCGGCAAGGACTATCAGATTGATTGTGGTGAAGGGAAGAAGGTTTACCAGGAGGAAGATATGGCAGAAGGGAGACTGTTTTCCTGGCTGAGTGAAGAAATATTTATGAGGCCCACCTTTGCACGTTTCTGCTCTCTTCTGGACAACTATAATCCGCATGAAGGGTATAAAGAAAATGTAACACCTGAAGAGAGACAAGAGCAAGCAGCATTTATTGAAGAGATAAGTAGAACTGCACCAATCAAATATCTTCACAGATATCTTTCTTCCAATGGCATCGTACCTGATAATTATCAAGATTTTAAGAGGATGATGACAAGCCTCTGGTTTGACCTTTATGGTCGAGGTGGTACATCTGGTTCTTCTTCTGCTTTCGAACATGTTTTTGTTGGAGAAATCAAGCAATGTGGAGAGCAAGAAGTTTCAGGATTTCATAACTGGCTTCAGGTGCTTATTTAATTTTCGTTTTTAATCTCTATTTGTTGAAAATTCCCAGCTGCACTCAATATGAAACTTATTCACATAAAGATCATATCCTACTGTATTTGTCTCATTTGTCCATTGAGGACAAGGAAGAAGAGTAAAACTAAGACGACGTTTGTTTTGAAGATTTAGATTTAGAAATTGCATTATTAATAAGTAATAACAAAAGGAAAAAGGAAACTGTATTTAAATTGAGTCAAAGGGGGAAAATTGAGTCAAAGGGTGATTTAGAAGTTGAAATTTTACCCCCTATTCTGTTTGTCATAGCTCATAACACATTGCATTTAAAATTTGTTCATACACATAATCTGTATGTCTTGAAGTTACTGCCTAAATTTGACTTGCATTTCTATGGTTTTCCTGGCACCACGAACAATTGTATGTCAATGGGAAATTAGATGTAGCTTCAAGCAAGTTGGCTTTTGTTATTTGTTTTCACCGTGTAAATTTCTATGACCTGTCATTCACAAAATCTCAAAGCCCTTGCTACTGGAATAAGAGCACCTTAATTTCCTGCAGTTCTATTTGGAAGAGGCAAAGGGAAGGGTGAATTATCAAGGATACATTCTTCCGCGGAGGCGTGGGCCAATTGTAAGTAGATTTATTTTAATATAGCTGGATTTGTTTGCTGAGAACGTAGAGGACATGGAAAGTGAAAATATGATCTCTCTCTAAGATTCTATTTTCTTCTCAACGTTCTCTTCTGTCAGATATGGGATCATACCATATATCCCTAGTGTCATTTGCACTCCTCAATACGTGAAGCATGTCTATCACTTTATTTACCAATTTTACATTTATTTAGATTTTCAGTAACACGTTTAACTTTTGTTTCTAATATGTTACCTCCTGCTTTTCTTTCTACCGTTTCCCATGATCTCTGTGAATGTTTGTACAGCATGCATGTGAAGAACCTTTCTATATACTATATAGGTGTGTATTCATGTATCTATCTTATATTCATTTTGAAAACATTTATTGAAAATAGTATGGCACAATAGAACTTAATCAAAATCATCACAACAATATATTAAAATTACCAATATCCAACCAGCTCAAGCCTAAAATATGATGCTCAGAATTTTTCAGATACAAATTAACTCGACTACGAACAAACCCTGATAGTCTCTTTGCACGTTCAAATACAGGCATGCAAGTGTGTGTGTGTATACTAGACAAGCCACACTATCACCTATATTTACAAAGATATATACACGAGACTACACCACTCATACCTCTGTACTTCTAGAGGTAAGTTTGGAATTTCACCCCTCCCTATGTCCTAATTCTTTCAATTAACATACAAGGTAGGGAAACAATAACCAAAGAACAATAACCAAAATTATAGAAGGGGAAACAGGGGAAGAAGAGAAGGGAAAGAAGGGGAGAAAGAGAAGAAGAGGGGGAGATAGAAAGGGGAGAAGAATCACACGAGAGATGCAGAAATTGGAGGAGAGGAATATAGTTTTATCCATTAATAGACTATTATTTCTAGTTATAACCCCTATTTATGGATATATAATTCATGTTTAATTCTCATACATGCTTGGAAGATTTTTTTTTGGGTGGGGGTGAGGGTCACATGTAAATATGTAAAATCTTTCACGTAGTTATAATAATAATAATCTCGTCTTTTATCTATAATATATTAAATATCATATAAAGTGAGAATCATTTTTTGGACGATTATACCTTTACTATAATTCAATTATTTCAATAATACCTTATTTTTCGTTTTTTAATATGTGTTTAATTTACAAACTGTAATAAATATTACAAACCTTGTTCTTGCATGTATAAACTGTAATAAATACTACAAAATCATTGTTCATGCATTAGAAATTCACATTCAAGTATGCAGTTCATTATTCATGTGAGGTTTAAAAAGGCGAAACTAAGTACTGATGCGATTTTTCTTTATGAGGCGAGGCGTAAGTCTCGAGGCGGATTGAGGCGTAAGCCTCACAAAAAAATAAAAAATCTAAGTAAAAGAATTATAAAATAATACAAAAAAATCAAAGTTGGAGCATATAGTAAATATGATATATATCCATTAGTATATTGAAATATAATCCACCTAAAGAAAGAAGATGTTTAGCAAAATAAAAAGCATTACAGAAGTTAAAAATTACTCTATTGCAATGGAAAAAAAGAAGCAGCTTAAACTAAAAAAAAAACTAATAGTCTGCACTATCATTGCTATTACTGGCATCGTTAATGGAATCATTCATATCTAATTTTCCCATCATCTTCCTCTTCGCTACTCTCAATTTCTACAAAATCATCTTCATCTAGTTTTAGAGTTTAGACAAGCGATTGGATGAAATTGTGTGTGTTAATTATATAAATCAAAACATTTATAAAATTTATAAGTTCCAGATGTGTATATGAAGCAACTAATTGTATGCAAGATTTACTGAACCCTAAGAAGAAAAAGAAAGGAGGAAAAACATATCTGATGAACTGATGAAGAAGACGATACTCTACTTGAATTNACAAGAGGCGTGCAGCAGATTCAATTAAGGCGCACGCCGCTCAAGATTTGCCTCAAAAATACCGTCTCGAGGCATACTACATGCGCCTCACAGTGAGGCGGGCCTCACTACCACCTTTTTATACCATGTTCACGTCAATGTATTCTAATTAGCATTCAGTTTCACTTAATTGAAAATTAAATTATATTCATTTAGTATAAATGATTTAACATTCATCGTCACGTATATATTCCTTGTTATTAATTCTAAATTAATTAACATTCACGTTGATTCTTGTATCGTATTTGTCATTCATCTTCATTTATGCATTTAGTTGTAATTCTAATATTCACATTCAAGTATGTATTTCATTATTTACATGCATGTTTGATAATTAACATTTATTTTCAGGAGCTTGCATTTCTTTTATATTTAGATTAAAAGGGTAAATGAAGGATCAAATGATACTTTTATAGCACTTATAAAACATTTCAGAATAACGTACGACGACGTTCAACTCTCACTAATTTGATAAAATATCTTATAAGAACTAACATTAAGTGCTCTCTTCCTTTCGTTATTTGTCTTGTATTGCAGCCTGACACAGAGACACAGCTGCTTACGATTCAATTTGAATGGAATGGTGTTCTGAAGTCAATCTCAAGCACTTTGATAGGAGTGAGCCCTGAGTTTGAAGTTGCAATATATACCCTATGTTTCTATTTGGGAAGGGAAGAAAACCATGTTGAGCTTGGTCCGTACCCTGTAAATATCAAGTGCTATCGTCTTGGAAACAAGATTGGATCTGCTTTTCCAGTCGCAGATTGTTAATTTTGTGCGTCAATGGTGGCTGCTCCCATTTACTAGAAAATTATGTCACTGAAATCAAATGCCTTATTTTATTGTGGCTCCAACTTTATACATTTGATCTGTTTCCCTGTGGCAGACTGTTAAATAGCAACAATCGAATTCATAATATGCCGCCTATTATAGTCCACTCATCTGATTTAAGATCCGAAATTGGAATCCTTTTGCTTTTGATGTACTATGTAACAATATTTGAAGTTGTGATTTTCATTATGGCTGAATGAACTATCATGTACTCAAATGTCATGTGAACTTGTGCATTTTCAATGATTGTGAATGTATGCATGAATGCACTAGCAACGTGCCCTTTTCAATCAACCCTGGCACATAGTATGCATGCAAACAATTCAGACACAAGTGTAGATATAACTCGGTTGGGTTGGTAGTGCTCCGGGTATACGTTGAACTTGTGTTTCCATATTCTATCAATCATAGTAATCATGTATGTACATTATATTTAACTGCACATATGTAAGTTCGGTAAATATTACTGCACAACAATTCTTCGAAGATTTGCACATTTATCCTTATAAAAGTTATGTTTACTATGCACTTGTTCATATGATGTAAAACTTTCTCGTTCAACCTAAAAGTGGGGGATGGAAATATTGAACCTTTCATTGAGGTTTTGTTAACAGTTAAAACTTTTTATTGACCCTTCATTGAGGTTTTGTTAATGGTTATACATTTTATTGCATTAAAGTTTTCTGGCCTTGATTGTTACAATCGAGTAAGGATGGTGAAATAACTCGCAGACTTGGGCTCGGCCCGGAAAAAGTCCGAGCTGGGCCAACTCGTAGCTCTGTGGGGCGGAGCCCCATTTTTTGGGTGTTGGCTTGAGTCGGGCCAGCCCAACGAGCCTTTTTTTTTTTTTTTTTCATTTTTTCTTCTCATTTTAGCTGTTATTTTTTTGTATGTTAATATTTAGTTATTATTTATAATACGTATAAATTGCAAAAATTTTAAATTCTTTGAAAAAAAATTTAGATGGTCACGAATTTAAAGAAAAAAATCCAGCTGGATAGGCCCGGCCCTGCTCGCCTCGCTAAGGCATGAGCTGAAAGCTCGGGTTGAGCCTAAATTTTTTTGCCGAATTCGGGCCAAAAAAAGCTCGAAATATTTTTACTCAAGCCGAACCCGAATAAAAAGTTTAGGTTCGCGGCTCGACTCGGCTCAACTCGTTGACACTCCTACAATCGAGGTATAGTAAGTATTGTCCACACGAACTTTATATACATATATGTTGGGATTCGATTTTCTACCACATGCGAGAAATGTGAACCAAACGGGTGAGAAATTGATCGGATAGTTGTAAATCAAATTAGAAACATGATCAAATTAACATAATCTTCTACAACCTTAACCTTCTAAGTTGCTTGGAAGTGATTTATGAGTAAAAACTTAAAAATGAAAAGGAGAGGAAAGCAAAGAAATCACTATTACATCACACAAGTATGTAAAAATGCTATGGTATGTAAAATAGCGTTTGAAGAGAATATCATTGATCAATTCACCAAAACCTACTAATTTTAGTAGTATAAATGCTATTTTTGTATTTACTCTTTTTCCAAATATAAATTATCTTTGATTTATTTATTCATTTTATGTTCTATATTATTTAATATTTTTGAAGTAAACATTATATTTTAAAATGTATGCAATTTTGTCCATAATGGATGAATAAAGTTATTTTGTACCTTTATCTACCTCCCAAATGTATCAATAGATTCTCTACAATAAGTAAATTATCATGGGATCATAGCTCAGTATTAGAGCTGTCCGTGGGTCGGTTCGGTTCGATTCTGAAGAGAGCTGAACCGACCCAAAAATTTGCGGGTATTTAATAAATGGACCCGTCGGGTCCAAATATAATTATGGAACCGTTCGGTTTCGGTTCCATTCGGTTCGATTCGGTTCGGTTCCGTACCATAATTAAATTTTTAATATTTTCAGCAACACTATATAAATACAACTAATGACATTTCATTCGTAACTTTTACAAATTAACGTAGCCCAATTCAAAAATATATAAATAACTAGTCGTCCAATAAGATTAATTCAATGCATACAAATACCAAAAAGTAGATATTAATATTACAGTAAAACTACATAAAGTATATTTATTTGCTTCAAATTAAAATGGGCTAATGGATTTTAATAATGATTTGGGATTTAAAATTAAAATTATGAAATAATCTAATTTATTTAATTAATTTGCTAATTTGTATAAAAAAANGAACCGCTCGGTTCGGTTCGGATTGGTCCGGTTTGGTTCGGGACTTTTGGACATCCCTACTCAATATCTTAAAAGCATACAATGATGGAACACCAGATAGGGAAGAGACTGTGCATATAAAAGTAGTAGTATCAAAACAGATAAGCCGATCCAATCCAACCTGTCCTTCTAGGCTGAATGCAAGCGCAGTCATAGAACATACAAAATATAAGTAAGGATGAGTCAAATAGTAAAAAATAACGTTATAAACAATTCCAACTGCATATAAACAAATTATCCTCACTCAAACTTAATCTTGACCCTATGTAGAGGGAACAAAACAAACAATTCACAGTTCAATTGTTTGCTCGACTCAAATCTGGGTAGCTGCCACTTTCAAAAATCTCGGATGGCTTCGTCGACTCATTCTGCTGGTAAAAGTGGAGATGCCACCAGTAAAGGTCGAGACCAAAATAATGAATCCAATCCCAAACCATGTTAACTTGTAACCATACAGTAATTTAATTGCAATAATCTTTAATCAGGACTCCAAAGTAGTTTTCGTTTGGGAGCTGGTGGAGCCAATCTTGGTATATCTCCAATATCTTTGTTATTTGGGTTCACAAGCTGAAAATTCGACACTAAAAGTATCACAGATGAGCTACACAAGATGAACTGTAATGATGATAAGAATAATGCTACTTGTACATAAAGGAATTGCATAATGATTTACATACAAATAAGATGTGAAAAATAAGGCGGAGAAGTTTTTTTTTCTTATTTGATTGAAGAAATTCTGACACAATCATATCTCATTATATTACGTGCATGTAAACCAATATGTACATATAGCACAACCGTGATAATTTTGTCTGTCAAATATAAAGAAAAAAAATGCAATTTCTAGGAATTGAACAGCCACATCAGAAATGAAAATAAATCAATTTGCAAAACAAATAAATCTTACGCTAAGCAGAAGCCAGAATAGAAAGAGCAAAAAGAAAGACTATCTCAAGCATCTCTCCACCTATTGATGTTGATGGAAGGTACATAAAGTGCACAAAGAGGTATTGAAATTTACGTAGTTCGACCATAACAATACCTAGAGGGGGAGAATAGGTATATTATGCGGAATTAAAATTATTAATTAATTAGCAACATGTCACTAATTAATTATCTCTAAATGATTAAGTATGCAAGTCAATTTAACCTATGTTTAAATACTACAGTTAATATAATCAATAAAGAAAGCAGTAAAAACACATGGTATGATCACGGAGAAACCCCAATTGGGTAAAAACTCTGGGCATTTTGCCAGTCAACAATCCACTATAAACGATTTATAACTTACAGTCTACCAGATTAGATGACGTACTATCTGATCTCCTTACTGCAATTTCAACAGTTCTCCTAGATTATGTGCTCCTACACCACTCCAAACTGCAATTTTCAAAACTCTCCTGGATTGTGCTCTCCTGCAGCAACTCCTAGCTTTTTGAAATCGTTTATTTCCTGTGGATCTACGAAGAGCACCGCATTCTTCAACGATTGGAACTTCAGTCAACTTCCATCGATCTTCAGCAACTTTGACAGATGCGGAGGAAAGAACAGTTTTGGTATTTGGATTACAAAAGTGATATTTTTCTCACCAAAACAATCTCATAGGACGAAAGTTGAAAGAAGGAATATGTAGGAATTCTCTTTGATGAAGCTCTCTTAATGATCAACCTTCTCAAATCACGTTTAGATGTATTTTGGTATTTATAGATAGGTTAGGAAAGTAATGGGTCAGGGAAAAAGTCTTTAAATCGTGAAATAAAAATTTTCCGGAAAACACAATTGCTCGAGCGAGGGCTCAACGACAGTCGAGTGACAGGCTGTCACTAGAGCTAAGGCAGGGCGACAGTCGAGCAACGAATGTTCTATTTTAACGCTCGAGCTAATCCAAGCGACAGTCTAGCGAAAATTCGCGCCGTATTTTCCTTCTTTTGTCATACTCGAACCCTAAACCTAAAAAACCTATTTTCATATAATTGCACTTTACTCCTTGACTTTTTACAACATTTACAATTAAGTCCCTTTTATTTATAGAATTGCCAATTACATAACTAAAAACCTAACAAGCTTCCTCATTGACATTCTGTGACAAAACTACTAACTAAAGTCAAGACAGTAATCAAATATGAAATAAAGACTCAAAAACCTATGACACAACTAACTGACTTGAACAAATTCTGTATTTCAATCAGCATCTGTTTCCTGAAATAGACAACTCAATACCCAGTGTGAAATGTGTGGAAAACATTATAAGTAAAGCAGTTCAAGCAGTTTATAGAAAATAGGCAATGTTTCATATAGTATTATTCAGTTTCAATCATGCATACTAAAGCAAGACATAGTACCAATACAACCCAACATACCAAGAAAACACATCGATACTACTAAAACATCAAACTTAATTTAGCAGAACTGAAAATGTATCATATAATCAAAATCAAAAGTTTTAGATACATCAAGTAGATAAAAAAAAATATACATCCAGTTGAAAAGAAAAAATATCTACTCCATCAAAGTCATATCTATATACTCCCCCTTTTTGTCACAAAATGACAAGGGGTAAACCTAGAAACTAGGTATCACCGGCTGCATCATCAGAATTCGTCATCTCCTCGGAAGTAGCATCGTTGTCCCAATGATGGCGAATCCATCGGAGTCCACGCCGAATATAGCCAACAGCACCCCAAAGTGT